TGAATGTTTATATTTATTTACATGAAAAATTATTCATGATTTGGTTAGATTAAAGAGTAAGAAAAAGTGGAATTACTGTATGAGCCTATGTTGGCTTAAAATATACACCCATGTATTTACTCTGTATGTGTAGTAAATACAGACACATTTTATAAATTATATATACACACGTACAAACTTGTTTCAATTATAAATCTGTTTTTCTGCAGTATACTGTATCATCTCCTAAGTCTGAGGTAAAAAATGTTAATGTATACTTTTATATATAAATATAAATGTATATATGGAAAAGGATTGTGGTGGTGGTATTCCTACAACTAAAGTTCTATGAAGAGCATGTTAACACTACATATAAAATAACAAAGAATAAAATGAAAAGGTTTGATTAACTTAATAAAGAAGAAATCCAGAATAAAGAGGGAAGATGATCATTTAATGCCGATACTATAAATTAAGACTGAAAACTACAATTTGCATTCCAAATTTTAAATTATGATTTTCATATGACCAACCTACAGAATGCCAGAGAATGTGTTTTGAATTGTAATTGACCGATCATTTCCTCAAAGTTAACGTATGGTCAATTTTACTAAATCTTCCACGGATACGTTCTCTGCTTTCAGCGCTCATTCCATAGGGTCAGAAAGGAAGTCCAAGACGTCCCACACTGGTACTGTGGATCCAGAGAAGAGAAACACTGACAGGAGATGGGAGACCTTGCGATCGCTGGAAAGGCTTCACTCGCTGCGTCACCACCCTTCAAGAGGATTCGTCTCGCTTTGCCTTTCAGACTTCACAGGTATTCTAATATTCCCAAACAGCATACTGTCGTCTCATTACGGCAGATAAGCATTTCCCACGAAAATCAATTAGGCAGCTATCTGTTTTATATACTTCCATCTCATAGGAGTTAAAGCAGAGCACTCAGCCCCCCCAGCCATTCCTGGCACACTGACACAGCTGTGGAGCTCGTGTAATGACAGCCATCTGTCTTTTAACAATGACGCAATCTGAACAATTCAATCCACTCGTATTTACCGAATGCCTACTAAGTGCCAGATACAGAATAAATGTCTTAGTTGGCCCAGTCAGAATGAAGAGAAAGACTTAAATTTCATGGCTTTGAAAGAATCACCAACGAGAAAGTCTTTGGCCCTAGCTGGTGGCGGCAGCTACCCTGTAATCAAGAGGGTCTTCAACCTAAAATCAACAAGAACAAGCAAGGAAGACGGGGGTGGGGGTGGTGGGTGGTAAGAGAGACAGAGACAGAGACTGAGATAGGGACGGAGATGGGGATGGGATGGGGATGGGCATGGAGAAGAGGGAGAAGGACAGAGACAGGGAGAGAGAGAGAAGAAGGAGAGAAGGAGACAGGGGAAACAAATAGAAAATTTGACTCTTCAGAGACATTTCTGGCCAAATTAATCAGCCAAGCTTGAAGCTTGCCTTACCTAGGGACTCCCTAATAGGTGAGATTGTTAATTTCCCTACTTACTAAGCCAATTTTATCAGGTAAAACCAAAAACAGTCAAGAGTGCATTAAAAAAAGGAAATGCAACAAAATGTTACTAGAATATTACTTTTACACCATTAAA